TTCATGATCCACTGTGTCAAATGCGGCCGTCAAGTCCAGCAGTACTAGCGCCACCGTGTGGCCAGAGTCAGTGGACATCAGGATATCATTATAAACTCGTAACAACGCTGACTCTGTACTGTGGAGGTTCTTGAAACCAGATTGGAACACCTCAGGAATCTCATTTTCATCCAGAAATGACTTCAGCTGGGCAAAGACGATCTTTTCCAAGATTTTGGACACAAACGGAAGTTTTGATATTGGACGATAGTTTGAAGGATCATTTGAATCAAGGCCAGACTTCTTAATTAATGGCTGGACAACAGCATGTTTAAAACTGGCAGGCACCACTCCCTTAATCAGGCTATTATTCACAATGTGCAAAACAAAAGGAGCTATAGTGAAAAACACTTCTTTGAATAGGCGCGGTGGGATGGGATCATCCGGTGAACCAGCCGGCTTCATTTGACTGACCACCGTTGTCAAGCAAGAGAGTGTCACAGGCTCAAACTGAAGAAATACAGCTGTACAGGTCACAAATACAGAAGAGCCAGCCGGTGTAGGGCCGATTAAGGCCCTAGTGGCCACAACCTTATTTATAAAAAAGTGCAGGAGTTTTTCACAAACTATAATTGATGCTTCAAGGCTATCTGAAGGGGGGACATTAAGAGCAGCATTCACCATACTATACAAAACACGAGGGTTGTTCCTGTTGGATGTGACAATATCATAGAAATACCGTGCCTTAGCAGATTTGACACATTTCTGATAATTGTGTAGACTATCAATTAAGATTTGATAGGAAATTTGCAGTCTATCCCTTTTCCATCTTCGCTCCGCTTTTCTGCATTCACGTCTAGCTGCGCGAGTGGACTCATTTAGCCATGGCTCAGAACTCGGCTTGGGACGCCTTGGTCTGAGAGGAGCCACATGGTCTAAAATAGACCGACAGGCAGCATCAAAACAAATAGAAAAACCTTCACTATCACAGTCAAACCCAGAATGAACGGCCAAATGGGACTGGTCAAAGGCAGCAGAAAACTGAGCGACAGTGGCTGAGTTAATTACCCGACAATGACGCGCTGGAGCGCACTGTTTTACATTGCACAGGAGAGGTACATCAAAGACAATTGGCATATGATCAGAAAAAACCGCATCACAAATTTCCAGATTACATACTGAAATGCCATAAGCTAAAACAAGGTCCAAAGTATGTCCATGTTCCTGCGTGGGCCCGGAAACATACTGCACAAAGTTAAAAGTCTCAACCAGGTCGAGGAAGTCTTTTGACCATTGGTTTATCAGCGCAGCACACATGAATATTAAAATCACCCACAATCAATATTCGGTCAAACTTAGGCACTACTTCAGCCAAGAAATGGGAAAAGTCACTTATGAAGACTTTGTTATATTTGGGTGGTCTGTACACAACTGCGCACAGAATGGGTGGATCAGAAGCCAAAACAAATGTGCTTATTTCAAAGCTTGACACGGGGGAATCCACAGCGAACTGTGTACACTTAAAGTGTTTTTTAAAGACAGTCGCTACCCCACCTCCACGACCCGACGACGTTCTTGGCGTGGAGATATATGTAAAGTCAACAGGCAAAAGTTCAGAAAATGCACTGGACTCACCAACGCCGATCCATGTCTCTGTTACGCACAGGAAATCCAACTTTCGGGACACAATAAAATCCTTCACGACAAAGGTTTTGTTTACCAGCGATCTGGCATTTACCAGCGCTATCCTGGCTGGAGCCACCGGAGCCTTCACATTAGCTCCCGCGCGGAGCAGTGGCCTCAGATTGTGACAGTTCAATCCTCGCCGCTGTAGAGGCGAAGCGAAACGGCGGGTCCGTATCTTCACGTCCTCCTCCGCGCCAACCACAGGAACCAGGTAGCGAACCGCGGGACGCCTTGATCCAAAGCGGGCATCCTCCGTGGCAGAAAACAGCCTAGCTTTTTGCTTCACCAGCCTTCCACTGCGCTTCCCTCGGCGTCTACGGCGCGCCCTCCACGAAGGTAGAGCCGGCACACAGCGGAGGTAAGCCGGGATCCCAGACAGGAAAGGTGGGAAAGTGCTTCCATGTCCCTCACGATCAAAATTCACAACATTCTGGGCCGAAACGCGAATATCCAGTAGCGTCTGCCTATCATAAGTCAGCAAAGAGTTGACTTTTGCTGTAACAAGTGCTAGGATTGCCACAATCAAAATAAAAGAGCGCAGAGACAGACAGCAAGCCAAACACACTGGCGCCATACTGTGTCCCCGAGGCTTGCATTGTCTGTTACTCTTTCAGTTTCAACACCTTCTATTTCAAGCGTTACTTCTTCCTTATCTTTAACATTTCCAAAAAACATCATTTTAGTTTTGTTCAAATGTAATGATAATTTATTTGGAGCAAACCATTTTTGTATCCCTCCTGTGGACTCACCACCTGCAGAGGGTCAGTGAGGGGCTGGTGCTATGAGACTTGGGTGCATCTCTGACTGCCACCCCCCTGACCCAGAAATGGATTAAAGGGAAGAAAATGGATGGATGGCATTGTTTTAACTTGTTCATTTCTGTTTCTATCTGAGTTGTGAGTTCGCTTCAGTTGTGACTTGCACAAAACAAATTTGTGTCATCAGCAAAGAGCACAGTTTTGAAAATGTGCGACACATTACACTAATCATGAATATATAAAATAAATAGCTTTGGACCCACTACTGCCCCCTGGGGGACACCACATACAACATCCACATATGGAGAGCTGACATCATCAAGCTTCACAAACTGTTTTTATCCATTCTAATGCAATATCCCATATTTCTCTAACTTCTCTATTCATATATTGTGATTTATTGTATCAAATGCTTTTTTCAAGTCTAAAAAAAGCCCAGCTGTGATTTTCCCTTCATCTAAGAAATGTGTGATTTCTTCAACAGACTCCATTCATGCAGATGTGGACCGTTTTGCCCTGAAACCATATTGACTGTCATGTAGTATGTTATGCTTGTCCACAAATGTATCTAATCTATCAGTGTAAAGTGTTTCTAATACTTTAGAGAATTGCGGTAATAAGGATACAGGTCTATAGTTGGTAAAATGATGCTTATTTCCAGTTTTGAATAGTGCTATCACTTTTGCTATCTTCATACTGTTTGGGACTGTGCCTGTAATGAATGATACATTGAAGATGTGTACTAATGGTTTTGAGATATAATGAATGACTTCTTTTATCAAGGCTATGCTCACATCATTGTAATCACTTGATTTCTTACTTTTAAATGGACTGACTACTCCCAACATTTCCATTTCATCCACTGGCTGTAGAAACATGGAATGAGGATTAGTTTCTATTGGCTGTGCCCAAGAGGTTTCTCCCATGTTTTGTTTGGGGATTTTGGCTGCTAAGTCAGGACCAACATTAGCAAAGAATGTATTAAACTTACGAGCTGCATCTTCCATGCTGTGAATTTCCTGATCATTTTCCATGAAATGATTTGGGTAGTTATTATGATTGCATTTGCCTTTAATAATTTCATTTAGTGTATTCCATATCCCCTTCATATTACCTTTGTTATTTTCTATTAGCTTCCTCTAATATTCTTTCTTACTCTTTCTCATTATGCTTGTTTTTATATTTCTTGTACCTTATCTCTATTTTTTTTTCTTATAAAGTTTGTATACAATGTATTGTTCTTTCTGCATGCCTTAATTAGGCCTGTTGTCATCCAAGCATTTGTGTTGTGATTTTGGCTCCTCCTAGTGAAGTAAGGGACAGTCTTTATTGCACAGATGGGTGAATATCTGTATAACATTCTCATATGCCTCTTCTGTCTCCATTGTTCCATATATTGTATTCCAATCCTGCTCCATTAAATCATCCTTAAAAGTATTCATGTTCTCAACAGCTTGCATGCGTCTATAATATTGTTTATGACCCTTAATAGTTAGATTAGTTACAGTAAATATGGGTAAATGATCACTAATATCATTTATTAGCAGTCCACTAATTGTACCGCTGCTCATGTCATTAGTGAAACTTTTATCAATAAGAGTTGCACTATTTGTTGTTACTCTTGATGGTTTTGTTATTTTCAGAATTAGCATGTTAGCATGTAAGCTAGTATCACATGATGCTAACATGTAACATGTATCACATGATGCTAACATGTAACATGTATCACATGATGCTAACATGTAAACAAGTATCACATGATGCTAACATGTAAACTAGTGTCACATGATGCTAACATGTAAACTAGGGGGTCGGCCCGATGTTCCCCGGGTCCGGTGTTCCAAACGCCGGAGGGCCCGGTGTTCCCCGACTGCGGGCCTCGCTCATAGACATGTTATTGCTGCGCGCGGATAATGGAGCAACAAGCGGCTTTCGCTCATAACTAGTCTAGGGCTACTGAATACTTTATATTATAAGCCTAGTAGATCTCGCATATAAGTGTGTAGGGAAGAAGACGGACTAGAGCAGCAGAGGAGGAAGCATGAGTGGATGAGTGGACATGAGACACACTCTGCTCGTCTCGCTGTTTCAGACCCATATCACTTTTACATGTTGTCTTTTCCTGAGGCCTTAAAGACACATGTGTCAGAACCACTTCATATTTCATGAACCATTAACACTTCTACAGACTTGGAAGCGTTGGTCTTTACTGCCTCTTTTATCCCTGCGGGCTCTCTGCAGCTGAGGGGCCCGGAGGCCCTGGGGCCTCTCTGCAGCTGAGGGGCCCGGAGGCCCTGGGGCCTCTCTGCAGCTGAGGGGCCCGGAGGCCCTGGGGCCTCTCTGCAGCTGAGGGGCCCGGAGGCCCTGGGGCCTCTCTGCAGCTGAGGGGCCCGGAGGCCCTGGGGCCTTCAGACACTCACAACTGTTGCTTCTACATCACCAGACTCCTGTTGAATGTGCACAGAGGAGTGAATGGAAAGTGTCCTTGTGTTTACAGACTCTCAGGATGTGTGGTCTCTGAGAGGGGCGGAGCTGCTCTGGCCTCTGCTCTAAGCTCCGCCCACTCTCATCTGACAGAGTTAGACCTGAGCTACAACCATCCAGGAGCCTCAGCAGAGGTCCTGACCGCTGTACGGGACCACCCCCACTACCCCCTGCACACACTCAGGTGAGCACACTGCCCAGACTCTCTCTGTTCAAGTATTCACTGTGTATTTCTTCAATCATTCATTCTGTCTTTCTTTTGAATAAGAACTAGTGCGTATCTCCACGGCAACAAGACAACAGTGTTTCAACTGAAACTATTTGAATTCAACACAATTCTGAGCAAAAACATCTATCGCTGAACTGAAATATAAACAATCTGTTTTTGACTTAATGATTCGTCACAAAGTATGTATGTAGCCAACCTGCATGTGGAAGCCTGATCCTGTCAGAGCTCAGGAGCTAAGCAGGGGAGGGCCTGGATAGTACTGTGATGGGAGACCTCTGTCTGAATAATGTCTGTGAAGTTTCATGGATTATTATTATTGTTAATCACAGATCAGTTCATAAATCACAGGAGAAAGATCACTATGATAAGAAGAAATGTTTTGTCCGACAGTAAGAGGTTAAACTGGAGACGTTCTTTTGTAGAAAACACTGAGGCTCAATAGAAAATGTTGATGATTGAATGATCACAGACATAATCTCTGTTTATTGAGTCTTTTTGAGGCTCCATCTCTGCAGTTCAATCACAAATCCTCCAAAAGCATTTGGTCCAGAGAATCCTGAAGGCCACACATCCTGTAGTTTTAGCACCTTCCTCTGGTCAGATTGAAGTCGACAGATAAACAACATTATTCCTCAGTTTTGTCACAGTCTGTGTTTGGATCTTATTGTGAGTCTTGTTCCATGTGTGAGTGACCTGTGTGTTACAGGCTGGACCCGGCTGGAGAGAGGTGGATGGTCACAGGTCCATGGAAGTGTGAGTAAACAGGAAGTGATGTCATAAGTTAGAATGTTTAGTCCTCCTCCATCTGTGCCTTTTCTCTTCATTGACCTGTATGTTGGTGGTCTGTCCACGAGGACCATCCACATTCATTAGTGAAGGAACGGTTTAAAGTCTGAGATTGAGATGTTCCTCAGAGGGAGTGCTCCTATTGAGATGGAGCGACAGCTCCTTATGGTCCACCTCAAGAGCAGATCAATGATAAGGAGAAGAAAGGATCAGGAAGGACATGGAGGTGTTTAGTCAGAGACACATCTGGGTCTGATTTTGGGTAAATACTTTCTTGATCCCTGATGGAGAAATGCAGGTGTCCAGCAGCAGAAACACATCCATCCAAACAAACAAATAAATGCATCATTCTAAAAGTGACTACAATAGTAATAAAGTGCAGCAGCAGCAGAGGTGGAGGAGCTGCTGGTGATGAGCTGCTTCCTCTCCTCTGGGTGATGTCTGCAGAGTCTGCTTGGTTTGGACCATTTTCTCTGCTCTGAATGGATTTGGATCTGAGTGGATTTACTCTTGATCTGTTTGGTTCAGATCGTGCATTCTCTCTGCTCTGGGAGAAAAATAACAATTGTAAAACAACTGTTTCAGAGCTACTTAGGTCTCGCTGTCGTTTCCAGTGCATTCAAAAGTCATTAATGTGACGCATTTGAACAAAAAAGATAGTGATGTTTCAGAAACTATTAAAATAAATAAATATAGAGAATAAGAACCAATAAAACAACTATTTACAACGATCCATTTTCCTTAGTTTCCTGTGTCTGAACTGTTGCAAATGTAAAATCTGTTGTATATTGTGTGTTTTGCTGCATGGTGTGTTAAAGTGACAGTGAGGTCACCAGTGTGTGTGTGTTCTCAGACTTCTGTGACGTCTCTCTGGATCCAAACACGGCCAATAACACTCTGCAGCTGAGTGAGGACAGAAGGACAGTGACCAGAGTGGAGGCGCTGCAGCTGTACCCCTCTCACCAGGACCGCTTCAGCTCCTGCCCACAGCTGCTGAGCTCCACCGCCCTCACAGGACGCTCTTACTTTGAGGTGGAGTGGAGAGGAGATGTAGCTATAGCACTGAGTCACAGAGGAATCGGACGCAGAGGAGACCTGGACCAGTGTCGCTTTGGGGACAATGATCAGTCCTGGAGTCTGAGGACGGAAGGAAACAGGAGGTCTTTTTATCATTGTAAAAGGAAAACACAAATGGACTACTACTACAAACAAAGAGTAGGTGTTTTCCTGGACTCTGAGGCTGGAGTTCTGTCTTTCTCTGAGGTTGATGATTATGTTAAATCCTGGTGCCCCCTCCACTCCGTCAGCGTCTCCGTCTCAGAGCCGCTGTTTGTTGGGTTCAGTCTGGAGCGTCCTGGTTCCTCTGTGTCTCTGCTGAACTTTGACGATGAAGATGACTTTGACGATGAAGATGATTGAATTCTAATTTTAACCCCTTAAGGATCACCTAATTTCGCCTGCTCCTTCTTGAATTATGATACCCAAATGGAAATGCTTATTGTGTGGACATCTTGTGTCTGATTTTGTGTTATGAGACCTCATTTGAAAGGTAACACCTTCTAGTTTCTGGAAATGTATGTTACAGTTTGTTAGGAAGGACACAGTCTGCACTACACCTTCTCAAACATGAGTAAAAGTTAGTTTTTTTGTCTCAAAAAAAAAGGCAATTTTAAAAGGTTCTCCTGAAGACATACTTTATGATATGTTGTTCAAACTCACCAGAGCAGATGTCTGTGGTGTTGGCAACAACTGTATGAAATTTTAGATTTGAATTTGAAACCATTTTGATGCTGGGGGCTTTTTTGTGACTAATGGGCACATTCGGCACAAGTGGTCCATTTTTGTGCCAATTGTGCCAAAGTGTTTTACATGCAAATTATCAACATTATTACACCAAAAATCAAATTATATCATTTTTTGGCTATTACTCTTGCTATAAATAGGATTTTTTTCCAGATATTGAAATGTTTACAGAAAAGCTATTATTTATATAGTTATAGCGCGTGTTCTCCGTGAAAATGCTCCACTTTCCTCTCTTACGCATTCAAATAACACTCGAACAGTGGGAGGAACCTTGAAGTCCGACACATCGCCTGAAACCTGAGATTATTGGCTACAAGATGGTTTGATTGACATCCAAATCGGCCAATGGTAGTCAAGACAATGCTGTCATGACGCACAGAAAGGTAAATGCCTGGAGGGCTGAAGTTTGGTGCGCTTGTTTTCGTCAACTTGTTGTACCCCCCAAACCATAGCACTGAGAAGTCCGAGTGAGGGCTTGTTTTGAAGGGAAGACTGAGAGGAAGACGAACATACCCAGTGATTCTGGGTAAAAAAAACAATGGCGTCTTCAGACAGTGCGCAAAGACGCGGTTTTATTTTTGTTCGGGCAACTTTCAAAACTCAAATGTGTCGTTACAAGTGGATATCTACTATAAGGATGACTTTGAAGAAAAAACAACTGGATATAAGTATTCTCTAGACCCCCCCGGACAAAATGAATGCACACATGTGTGGATTAGACGTGATTTGGCCCAGAATATTAGCATGAAAAGGTAAGAAAGGACAATATATATTTTTTATATGTATACAGTTTGACTACAAATACTTACTTTTGTTGATATTTAATGTTTATTTGAACATAATATGCATTTAGAGGTGGGAATATGCTTTCAAAAGAGGTATAGCTTGACTATATTGACACAAGTTAAGTTATAATACTGATGCAGTTAAATGAAAAATATCTGAATCCTCCCTGTACAGGGAGGGTGATCCTTAAGGGGTTAAAGATCTGATATTTTAAACACATCGCTCAGAGCTTTTCTACTGATAAACAGAAATCATGTTTTTGTAAAAGACGTTGATCATTTGTGTCATGAGTTTTACTGCAGTAAAATATAAATAATCTGTTAATTTCTTTAAATGTTTTATTAAATTGATTCACAGCAGTTTCTGTTTTACAGCTTATGTTCTTATTGAGAAACTGTTTTACAGAAATTACTTTGTTAAAATCAAAAAGCAGAAGAAAAAACATACTGCTACTCCTGAATAAAACTAGTTGTAAGGAACGTTTGGTTTATTTTATTTCTTTATATAATACTTTATTGTGTCATCTTCATTAGTTCACTCTTTTTTCTTAATACATACATCTTAACAAGACACATTTTGATTTCTTTTTTTTTCCTTTTTCCCTCCACTTTGCTCCCCTTGTGTCAAGAGAAGGGTAAAGCAAAACAAATACATAGATAAATAATAAATAAAATAAAAAAACAATATGAAAGTAAATATATAGAATACTATAAACAATAGATGATTATTCCTATGGCTTTATGTTGAATAGTTTTGATATACTGACAAACAGACAGAATGTGATGTTGGTTTAGTCTGTCGTCCTCTACTGTGTCCAATGTCCGTATTTGTTGACTTCACATTATATATACATATACACACACAAATACCCATACACATGTACATACATATACATCCACATATACGCGCAGACATACATACACACATACACATACGTATGCACGCAGACATATAATCACACACACCTGTAGACACAACATATTGTTCTAATTGTTCTCTTTCCCCTTAAGAAGCTCCTCTCTATCTAGTTTTATAGTTATTGTTGATTAAAAATGCATTACTATTTTTATTCTAATTAGGTGGGCACTTTTAAGTAAACGTATCATCGATTGTGTGCCATTTTCTCCTGAATTCATCTTCCTCATTATTAATCTTGTGTGACAGTGTCTCCTTTAACTGAACCTCTTGAATTGCGTCCAGCCAGTTTTGGATTTTGGGAATGTTGGTTGTTCTCCAGTTTTTGGTAATTTGTTTGAGGGCGGTTATTCGTATTATCCAGAAAGGTATTCCTCTCTTCTCTTCATTCTCTGAGTTAATATTCCCAGTGATAATGTTTTGTCGTTGTGCAGGTTTATGTTTCTAAATACTTGCGTAATATTTGTTTTCACCTCAGTCCAATAGTCTTGGATTTTCGTACAAGTCATAAAAATATGTCTGTAGTCCACCTCTTTCTCCCCGCACTTCCTCCAACATTCTCCCAGCTTCTTGTTCTTTGTGTACTTTGAGATTGCTTTAGGTGTTTGGAAGAACCTCAAATGTAGTTTCCAAGCAAACTCTTGCCAATATGGCGTTCGTACGTGTGAGTAGTTTGCCTTCATGCTTTCGTACCACTTGTCATTATCAATCCTTTCCTCTGGTTCATTTTCCCACTTCACCTTGGTTGAATTCACCATTTTGTTTCTGATGTCCTTGCATCATGGTATATATCTCTTTAATAACTTTATGCTTTTCTCCATTGCTCTTTTGAATTAGGTAACGTATGAGAGCATGAAGTTCATCCAGTTTTTTTAGGTCACTTCTCACATGTAGATAACTATAGAAACGTTTGGTTTATTTCCCGATTGTTCTTAATGTGACCATGGTGTGTGGACATACACGGTGATAATAAACTACTGTAGCCACAGCTGCCCTGGGGCACACTGACAGAAGCGAGGCAACCAGTCTGTGCCATTGGCCCTTCCAACCACCACCAACACATCAGAATCATGCTTGGCAATGTGGGTGAAGGGTCTTGCCTCAGGACACAACAACAGTTTGACACTTTACAGCCGCAGCCGCCCCAGTGGCACCTGTTCCCAGAGGTCTCCCATCACAGTACTAACCAGTTCCTGCCCTGCACAGCTTCAGAGGTCTGCAGGGAACATGGATCTAGGATCTGACTTCCACCGCTAGTTCAGGGGTATGTTCAAGTGTCTACTGTGTTTTAGGGATCTTTTTGTATTAGGGACATGTCTGGAAAGTTTTTAAAATTTAATTTCAAATTTAAAACAGGTCTAAAGACGCTCTCTACAGCATTCTGGTTTAATTATTCTATTCATGAAAATATAAAATAACAATTTATTTATTTATTCAATTATCAAACCCTGAATTATAATCTCAACAAATAAGTCTGACTTAAAATGACTTAAAACATGTAAAAGTGTAATTTACTGAACTAATTATCGTTATATCTCACACATAAACCATTAAAATGTTCTTGTAATATGCTTTTAGGAATGTGACAAAAATAAAAACAGTCGATAGATGTTTTATACACATGACAGTCTCCCCCTGCTGGACAAGTGTGCTCTGGACAGCAGCTCGCAGCCTGCTGTGAGGAGAGGTTTCAGATTGTACAACGAACACTGTTGCTCTGTCTATCATAAAACATATCTTGGGGCTGTCTAAGGACTGTCTGCACAACAGCCTCTGACAATTCAATCTGCTTTTGTTTTGCTCAATACATAAAATAAAATGTCACATCCATCACTAACTACATGTATAAGTGTGAAACTCCCTTCAGCAAATTAGGATCCTGCACTTATCTTGAAAATGTACTTGTTTTCCCGAAGTGTAATTATAGATTTATGCTTAAGCTAACATTGTTCTTAAAGATTTTAGGTATTTTACAATAATTCCATTCTAGCATAAAGGAAATATCAAGATAAGTTCAGCATGTTGGCTCCAAAGAACCAGGACCTGCAGCATGCACTGGGACGGTTTGCAGCCGAGTGTGAAGCGGCTGGGATGAGAATCAGCACCTCCAAATCTGAGGCCATGGTGCTCGACCGGAAAAAGGTGCCTTGCCCTCTCCAGGTGGGTGGAGAGGTCCTTCCTCAAGTGGAGGAGTTCAAGTATCTCGGGGTCTTGTTCACGAGTGAGGGAAGGATGGAGCGTGAGATTGACAGGCGGATCAGTGCAGCGTGCGCAGTGATGCGGTCGCTGTATCGGACCGTTGTGGTAAAGAGGGAGCAGCGTCTGCAGTCAGAGCTGTATCGGACCGTTGTGGTAAAGAGGGAGCAGCGTCTGCAGTCAGAGCTGTATCGGACCGTTGTGGTAAAGAGGGAGCTGAGCCGAAAGGCAAAGCTCTCGATTTACCGGTCAATCTTCGTTCCCTCCCTCACCTATGGTCATGAGCTTTGGGTAATGACCGAAAGAACGAGATCGCGGATACAAGCGGTCGAAATGAGCTTCCTCCGCAGAGTGGCTGGGCGCTCCCTTAGAGATAGGGTGAGGAGCTCAGTCACACGGGAGGAGCTCGGAGTAGAGCCGCTGCTTCTCCACATCGACCCTCGTCCCACCCTTGAGGAGGCCCCGGGGAAGACCCAGGACCTGCTGGAGGGACTATATCTCTCAGCTGGGAACGCCCTGGGGTCCCCCCGGATGAGCTGGAGGGGGGACTAACCCACTTTCTTTACAAGCACATAGCATTATTTTTTTATTTTTCCAGATTGTTATGTTTGATGTTTTTTTTTATTTATTTTTTTTTTTTTTTAATTACCCAATCATGTTTGATGTTGAAAAATAAAACAAAACAAAAGATATTCTACTTCTTTCAGGAGATAGCATTGAATATTGGGCGACACTGAGGACACTGCAGACTCTAAACTGCATCTCTGGTTTCCACTGACAACATACTAATCTTTCCATTTACACATTATAAATATAGAAACATTGTTATATTTTCTCCTTCTGCCACTGATGTGAAACCTGTAGTGACGTCTTTATATCTATATTCAAACAAATGTGTGGAAATGAGACTAAACGGTGTAAAGTCCTCACCTGTCTCAAAGGAGATGTCGTTGCCGCTGTGCGCCGCTTTGAGCCAGCTGGTCATCTCCTTCAGCACCGCCATCTGACTCCGGATCACGATGTCCGGCTTCGTGATGTCCACGTCCACATCCGGGTTCCACACCTGATTGGCCAGGCCGTTGCCGATGACAACAGACTCGTATCTGTCAATAAAAAAACACTAAGGTTAGTCATGTGTAAATGCTGGTGTGATTTTAGGCTTAATCACCCAATCATCAAAGAGTATGTTTAAAAGCACTAGAGAAAACCAGATCACTGTAGTCCGATTTAATTTAACTGGATCCTACTGAGACATGACCAACAGATGCATTTAAGAGCACCACCTAAAATGTCACCGATCGAAACCACCCTCCCAGGAAGAAATGGTTTATGGTTATAGATGGACTAGAAATGTATGTGTTTCTATGCATTCACATTATTTCAGTCTTGTCACGTGCGGCAAAAGCAAACATTAAAAATGATGTTTAATTGCACTTCAATTTAATTAAATCAATAATCAGACTTTCTTTCCAATGATAAGGCATCAAGACTTTTTCCCACTTTTTCTGTGCTCAACATAAATAATAAAGCCTGCAGTATATATAGATCTTTCGTTACTGGACTTCAATATGAAATGATTCCCTATGAGGAAAAAATATGTTCACAATCTCTTTAAAAAAAACAGAGTTAATTATTCTAGAAATGTATATTTATGAATAACTGTATTTGTGTTCAGTTTTGTCGTACCTGCTTTTGGCGGTGCCGTTCCAGCACTCGTCTCCGGGGGCGATCCTCTCTCCCGCACACACCGTCTCTGGCAGCGTGGACCAGAACTTTTTAGCATGTTTCAGCCTCTTCTTCACATCCCCCGTCTGACAAAAACACATGGAGTGAGCATTTAAAGGGACGGACAGTGACGGTGAGAAAACAGCAGAGGAGGTGGCTCTTACCAGTCGGTCTAAGCTGGTGCCTGCGGCGGTGGTGGGTCTGGCGTCAGGACTGTAGGGTCTGAAGCGTCCTGTAAACGCCGTCTCTTTGATGGATCGCTTGGTTCTGAAGGCCATGCTGGGTTTGGGCTGCCCACAACCCTGGAACACCTGAAAGAAGAGACACAAGAGAAAGAGTGGGACAAGAGTAACCACATGAACAACCAAAACACGCACAAAATCCAAGTCCTGAACATATAGATCTATTGTTGCCACGACAACAAGACCACACAACACTGTCTGAGCTAAACATGTGTTATTTACTCTTGTTGGTAACATTAAGACCGATTTATTTATGGATGTTTGTGTGGATGGATGTGTTTCTGCTGCTGGACCGTCTATATCTATAATGTCATTATGAAACTACTTATTTTGGGGTGTTTTGTGTGTGAAATGTGTGTACACAGGTTTGAATAATAAAAGTGGGCGGTACCTTCTGGGAGACTTGCATGCTGTTCTCCTGCATGTTCATGATGGCCTCAGAGATCTTCACGTCGATGGGATCCATGACCGACTCGAAGTTAAAGGGCCCCTCCAGACGATCGGCCAGGTTCAACATGGCGTCTGCAAAATTACATTCAGGAAACATTAGAACAGGGAACGCCAACCTTTTCTATCAGACAGCTACTTTTACAAAACAGACATGGCTTTTGTGGTGATAATAATAATGTCTTGATAACATTTGTTTTCAAGACAACACTATATGTCCAATTCAAAACATGTCATATCTGTATTCATTCTGACATATACTGTTTTATTTCTAGATCATTTACATTTAATTTGGACATATTTGTGGATTCACTGAAGAAAATGAGTAGACACACATCATGGCCACCAGAGGGAGCCACAGCTTTTCATTTAAACCCAATTTCGAGGCCTTGAAGGTCGGGATTTTGCAAAAAGCAGATGTCAGAGGAGCTGACAGTAGCAGAGAGAGAGATGGGTGATTTCAACCGAGCGGAAAACTAGAAACAGATTTTTATCCGTGGACTTTGTCATATAAAATAAAGAACATATCTTTATTAAAATACTACATCTCTTTATCCTCCTCCGTTTCTACAAATGAAAACGATATGTGTTCCAGTGTTTACCACACAAAGGCCTTCATAGTTTAGGCCCCGCTCCTTCCTGTCCGTTTAAACCAATACGACAGAGAAGACGGGACGAGTTTGGACAAGATTTTTACACAATAAGCACTGATTCTATGGAGTTTATCAGACAGAGCTGGAAGGAAAACAGGAGCAAATACAAGATCACAGTTACTGCCGTTTGGGCTGGTTAAATATAATGTGGAGCCAGATCAAATGTAGATCAGACAGATACTGAATCTGACAGAGCTCAGCAGTGCGACGATTTCTGAATAATTGGAATTTAAGAACAACAAAATAATTTAAAAAAAGTGTTTTTATTGTGTCAGGGTTCTTCTTAATTCATGTTTTTTACTCAAACACATATTGTATGGTGTTGTGCTGCAGAAATGACACCTGTTTTCATAACAATGGGCTTAAACTTCAGCTCCAGGATCTTCTGCATCAGAGGTCTGGAGGCGACCAGCGTCACATTCTGGTAGTATGATTCTGCTCCGCCCACCAGTGTTGCTTACTGAAGCCTACAATTCAAGCAAAAGACACTTAGCAACCTACCAATCCATATGGACAATTTTGGCCCTTACTTTAGCCTTTTAACATGTATCTTTACAATCAGTCATTTTCTTCATGTTATTTTGACAATTTGCATTGTTATATCTAATCTGTATTGAATATTGCCTCAAATCTACAAAACTTATATTTTCTGAAAGTGCTATTTGTCCTGAATAGAGGTAACTGTTTATTGATTATATGCCTCAGATTCTCTTGAAAAGAATGTGGAACTAACTAGCTAATTAAATAATTAATTGTCATATGAGTACTGACTAATTACATTTGCCATTAATCGATAAAGTGACTTCATACGCCGTTTATCAGTTGTGATTTCATTTTTTTATTTACTTGCATGATTGTTTTTGATCCAATTCTCCGATTTAAACTTGATAATTGAAGTTATGGTGATATCGATTCATTAACCCTACACAGGTTTGCTCAATTTGCGTTTATTTGGACAAACTTTGTCTGTATCCAAAAAGCACCTCATGCTTCCAAATACTATTATGACCTGTTTCAAGTTTTATTTGTTTTTCTTGGCCAGCATTATCTATATTTAACGGAAAATTCACACTTTTTTCTGATTTCTTGTTGTTTCCAAAGACAAGAGTGGATTACAGCTCAGAGGAAAACCGATTAGCGGCCCGCGATCAGATCTTGCTGAATGGTTTGCATTGTTCTGCTTTGAGGGTGTATTGTGTGATCTTCGGTGCTGATGATGAACGGCGTTGATCAGATTCATTTCACAAATATCTCCCAAAGAGACAATCAATGCATCATAGATTAGAATGCGTTTCAAATACCTTCGATAGAGCTAACACAGCATGAGCCTATTTACTGAATCTGAGCCCATTTAAGGGCATTTTCAAACTGCCTCCTGCTGCCGCCTGCAAATCAGTTTACTTGTTTTGAAAACTAGTGGCGAGGGAGGAGGCCATAGACCATGGGACAGGGATGGGACAGGGCTGACCCAACAGCCGAAGCCTTATAGAGAAAGTGCTCATGAACAAAACATTTTTCCTCTGGCTCGGGCTTTCTTCACTTTCCTTGGAATAGGAAGCATAGTCTATATTGTTACAGTCGCTGTTTTCAGAACTCTTTTATAATGTCTTTATACTTGTTCTTTTTGATGCTGAGAGTTAGAGATTTTTTTCCTTTTTATTTAGCATAGAGTTATTTTTCCTTGATCTTGTGTTGTGTGCTACTCATTCCTACTGTTCTGTAGTGGTGATGCAAACACTGAAATTCTCCACTGTGGGACTAATGAAGGAAGTCTAATCCATGATGTGAATGATTGCTAATGAAGCGTCAGGAGGTGTCCAAAAAAGTGCTGTATAAACCATTCATTATTATAATAACTTAGTAATTTCTGATCCGATTCCCTCTGATCCTCAAATTCGGGTCACTTGCGATTGTGCAATGATGGACGTTTTACTTTAAATTGCCCGGGCCTTGATTTTGCCATTGAGCCAGCTTTTTGGACTGCCTTACGCGCTGGAGGTATTTTCTTTCTTAGGGCTTTCCTCGTTGCCTGTTCGAGGTTGCCATTAGCCTGTGGTATACCAGATACTTGTAACTGGTCCTCAACGTCTGATATTGTGGACTACATTGCCTCTCCGCATCACCAGTGTGATTTGGTTCTAATCAAACTTCTTCATGGGGCACACTGGGAAGTCTTGCACAGGTTTTGCCAATGTGGTTTTACTGCAAATGGACATAAATGAATCTGGAATCCTGAATTTGGGAAAAAGCAAAATGTTATGGGCGGCTTCAGCTTTCTGTACTCACACTTAAATGGTTGTAGAGGTGGAAACAATATTCTTATATCTTACATATTAATATGTTTAACAAGATAAAAATCCCTGCATTCCATAAAACTGCACAAGATGTTTTCATCTGCCACAACACCACAAATTCTGCAATAGTTTAACCCTTAATGTACGCCGTCCTACTGTGAGCGCCGACTTTTTTCAACATGAAAGAGCATTGAAGTAAGAAGCCCCAGGTCACCAGGAGCATCCAGTTACGGGATGAGGGTAATTAGATTAGAGTCGACTGAGTGAAGGTGAATATGTAAAAATATGGAAAACGACAAAGAAGGCTGCTGGAAATATTAGGAAGATCCCGCACAGAGTGTCTTCATACATTACTTCTGACCTCCTGCGGTTCTGAGATTCATGTGAAAGCAACCTCAAACAGGTTATTTTTCACTTTTCAATGTTGCACAGGTGTAAAAAAAGAAGAAAAAAAAAAGGGACATTGTGCTGTACGCTGTGTCCATGACTAAGACTTCAAAGTACATTCATCATGTTTGAGCCATATGAACCATCTCCCATGAAGAGTCAGGGCTTACACATTGGTAGTTAGCCAATACAATTCTTTCCTATCAATGTGAGACAACCTTGAAAAGATTTTGGGCTCCGAATTCAGATACTTTCCATTCATCATATGCAGTAAAGTGGTCCCTCGCTTGCAGTTTGTGTTTCACAGTTTTTGTGACGCAATTTGGGCTTTTTTTAGCATGCTTCTAATGTGCCTCTCACTTTTCCCCATGGGATTAGAGTTTTTTCTTGCTGATGCAGGCGGGTCTGTAAAAGTGTTGAGGTCTCCCCCAACTAATGTGGACCAGTGGTGTGCTCCCGGACACTCTAACATTATAGCATTCATGGACAGTATCAACAGTCATGGACATTGGTCAAACGCCCCTATGGACCAATAACTATGTGTTCTATTGGTGTTCAAACCAATTCATCCTCTGATCTATATTGGCAAAAGGACAACTGTTTTTGTTAAAGTCCTCTGATATAACTTAAGTTTTGATTTATGGCTGATACATTGGAACTAAATTGACTGGAATGTGCACTTGTATATCATGTCAGTTATATGGCTTGTGTGCACCACCTCAGCAGCTACAAGCAGAAGCTCTGACATGAATGCCCAGAAGGACATTACAGTATGAGGATGAGCTTCTGTGTCACAAGATATCACCAAAGATGTTGTTTTCAAGGTTTAGGCAAGGCACTCATGAAGAAATGTCTTCTGCATGATGATTGCGGTCTGCAATTCATCGGCTCTGCAGGATTATGGAGGGGGCTATGTCATGACAGCGATCCTTAGAGGACCTTTATAATGGAAGCAAATCTTTTTTCTTCATGTAAAATTATTGCCAAAATATATGATTTGGAGGCGGGGTTCTTGAGCACCCATGAATAGCATAGAACTTAATGCAATAGACCTGGTCCTTAGCATCCAGAGAGGGAGAGCCTGCAATCTCACTGTTCTGACTTTAGGGTTTTAGTTAGCTTCTATCGTATCTCCTACATTATCTTGTAAGTCTGAAAAGCCCTTACAGACTCAATCTTGAAAAAATAGTAGTCTTACCCCATCCCAGTTTTGCAACCTGCTTTTAGTGTCCTGAATACGTGCATTAAAGTAATGGATCATTTGAAGTGGAAAGGACATTTATTTTGTAATTCAATTGCAATGACATGTCTTTTTCCAGTTCCATCCTATCCATCCATCCATTTCTTCAGCTTCAATCGTGGCGTCCAGGAGGCATACTGACAGATGCCCGGGCCACCTCAATGGTTCCTCTCGAGTGAGCTCCTCACCCTATTCTGAAGGGAGCGCCAGCCACTCTGGGAGGAAGTCATTTTTTTTTTTGTGTGTTTTTGGGCTTTTGTTCTTTGGTCTTCCTTGGGTTGACCGCTTGTTCCGCGATCTCATTTCCGGTCATTACCCAATGCTCATGACCATAGGTGAGGGAGGGACAAAGATGCCGGTAAATTGAGAGCTTTGCCTTTCGGCTCAACTCCCTCTTCACCAAGACGGTCCGATACAGCGAACCGCATAACTGCGCACGCGCACACCTGTCAATCTCGCGCTCTATCCTTCCCCACACGTGAACAAGGACCCCGAGATACTTGAACTCCTCCATTGAGGAAGGACCTCCCCACCCACTGGAGAGGGCAAGGCTCCCTTTTCGGTCGAGCACCATGGCCTTCAGTTGGAGGTTGCTAATTCTCATCCAGCGTGCTTCACACTTGGCTGCAAACGTTCTAGTGCATGTTGCAGGTCCTGGTCGTGGGAAGCCCATCAGGACACCATCGTTCGCTAACAGCAGAGATGAAATCCTGTGGTCGCCAAACCGGACCCCTCCGGCCTGGCTGCGGCTTGAAATTTGTCCCCTCCCCCCCCCCCCCCCCCCCTCTCCATGAATACAGTCTTTTCCAGTTCCTGAGATAAACACCAAGCTGCCATGGCTGAAGATAGATAAGGTAGATCAAAGTGGACGTTTTAGGAAGTCTGGTCATTCTGCATTTTCCAGTCTCAGCAGTGACGGCAGCTTTCTCTCTTTCCTTACTGCACATTGTTCATACTGACATTGCCATGAAATTGCAAATGTTCACACTGGTGCAGGTAAGTTTCATTTCTTTGTGATATTCTATTGAGTCAACTAAATGTCATCCTGTGCAGTCTTCTTTCATTGCACCATCTTTGATCCATTGCATGAAGATAGACAAATCTTGGAATATTTCCAGTTTCTTCTAAGCATATTTGAGTTCTAGTTCTGAACTGAATAGTTATTTTTAAAGAAGTGCACAAAGATAAACTTCATCTTATTTTTATTATTGCGGATTATCTATTAAAAGGGTTGAATACTTGCCTGGTCAACGCAGTTCTCCTTGTACAGATTCTTTCCTGTAATGAAAGGCAGCAATCCAAAGAATTCCCTCCACTTAAAACATTGGCTTCTTTCTCCAACCACGCCATGGGTTGGAGACGAGGGGTCGCCTGGAGACGACCTGGAATAGGAAGCTTGTGATGTTCTCTGCTTCATTTTCCATTCTTTGAAACAAAGCCATGTTCTGGTCTCATTCATTCACTTCTTCA